CTCGCGGAACAGCTGGTAGTTTTAAACTGCCGACCTTGCGGTTTGCAGCCCGATTCGTAACCACTACGTTACCAGAACTCCTTAATGTTGATACCAGAAAACTTAAATTTTTAGTATAAAAAAATTATTTTTTAAATCTAAAAACTCAAACCAAACCCACTCTCCTCAAGTCGGTTCCAACTCACAGTAGCCCTATAACACAGAGAAGAACTGCTTCTTAGGGTTTCTGAGACGCTAACTCTTTATGAGAGCACACAGCCTCATCTTTCTCCTGAGGAGCAGCTGGTGGGTTTGAACCAAAGACTTTGCAGTTAGCAGTCCAATGCTTAGCTCACAGTGCCAACACGTTTCCTTACTTATTTGAAGCAATGTTTTAAAGCCACACCAGGAACTGTTCCTTCATCTCCCTTGCATGACTGGGATGGAAGGTGGAGGCAGAATTGGAGGACATTACTTTTCTTCCCTATTTACTCCCTGTCTTTGTCAGGCCCTGGTCTCTTTGTGGGTACCCAGAAGCTCTGAGACTAGGTCCCCTTCTGCACAGCTGTACAAAATCGGTTCAAGTGTGGGGCAGCAGTCTCTGTCTAGCACTAGAATTGCCCTTTAGGCAAAACCTCATCAATCTCTGCCAAGACTTAGAGTCATCAGATTCAAAGTCTTTTATAATCATCAGGCAATTATGATAGCAACTACTGTCAACAAACAGAAATACCTTGAGGGGTGGGGAAGGAGCAATTGGCAGGGAGGGTCCGGCAGGGTGAGAGAACAGAGAAGGGAAGAGGGCAAGACCTTCCTGCAAGGCACCACCCTGATGATTAATCGAGGGAAGGAAGTGGAAAGGTGAGGAAGGTTGAGTGAAGATGAAATGCATAAATCCAATACACACAGATATATGCATATAGACTCTGAAATATACATTTGTTGTTAAGTACCATGGAGTCGGTTCCAACTCATAGTGACCCTACAAAGGGTTTCCGAGGCTGTAAATCTTTACAGTAGCAGACCGCCTCACCTTTCTCCTACGGAACCGCTGGTAGTTTTGAACTGTCGACTTTGATGTTAGTAGCCCGATTTGTAACTACTATGCTACCAGATAGCGTAGTGGTTACGAATTGGGCTGCGAACCTTAAGGTCAGCGGTTCGAAACTACCAGCTGCTCCGCGGGAGAAAGATGAGGCTTTCTACTCCCGTAAAGATTTACACCCTTGGAAACCCTGTACAGGGTCGCTATGGGTCGGAACCGACTCGACGGCACTTAACAACAACAACAACATGCTACCAGAGCTCCTTGAAATATACATAGTACTCATTTATACATGTGTTTATGTGTATGTAATACATTGGTATACATATGTTGTTGTTGTTGTTAAGTGCCATCGAGTCGGTTCCGACCCATAGTGACCCTGTACAGGGTTTCTCTGGGTGTAAATCTTTACGGGAGTAGAAAGCCTCATCTTTCTCCCGCGGAGCGGCTGGTAGTTTCGAACCGCTGACCTTAACGTTTGCAGCCCGATTTGTAACCACTACGCTACCAGAGATTGGTTAAACACTCCATCACTACCCACAAGGTTGGCAGTTTGAATCCCCCTAGAGGTGTCTCAGAAGATAATCCTGGGGATCTGCTTCTGAAAATGACAGCCACGAAAACCCTCTGAAGAGGTTCTACTCCGTACACATGGGTTCCACCTGAGTCAGAAGTGGCTTGACAGCAACTAACAACAGTAATACATACATACACATAAATGTTTATCTTTTTCCCCCCTTAATTGTTATGTCACTAAAGTAATTCTGACATGACCACTGTCTCACCTAATTGGACAATGATCTCACCTAATTGAAAAGCTGATTTTGCATCTTTCAGGGAGGTGGGTGGTTGAATTCCATGTCTAGGATAAGAGAGATTCTTCTCATTTGCCTTCACAAGTAAGTAATGGCTCATCCCCAATGCCACTATACTGTTGTCTGCCTTATGGTTGATCTTGAAGAGACAGGATGGTAGGAGAGAGGAGTCCACTTCCTTGGCTTGATCACAGGACCCCTTTCTGGCTGCAACCCTTGTGTAGGAAGTGCCAGTGAAATGCTTTATAAGAAGCATTTATGGGTATGTGGTACAGAAACTATTTCTGAGTTACTTTTATCTACTATTATGAAAGAGGCAGGCATCAGTCTATGTGTTATACCTTATCCTGTTTCTTAATCCCAGCCCTCCCCCTTCTTTCAGATTTCTTTCTTCACATTGTCTGCCTCTCTCTGGGTACTGGTGAAGACCACAATTGTTCACAATTGCTGCTTTTCCATGGAGGTGGCCCCAGTGACCCTTTCCTCCTAACTCTCTGGCTCATATATTCAATCACTTCCTGATTACTCCTTAGCAGGTGAGTGCTTTGTGAATTGTCTATCCCCAGATGTTGAATGGAACCAAGGCCATAACAGAGCTGGGTTTGGTAGACATCTGATATTGAGTGCGTGTGTATCTTCGATTGCATTGGAAGCCAACTAGCTTTCATTTCTGAGGTAGCACCTATATAGTACTTAGAGTCCTGGTGTGGCGCTGTGGGTTAATGCGCCAGACTGCAAAGCCATTTGAACTGCAAGGTTGGCGGTTCAAGATCACCAGCTGCTCCTTGGAAACCCTATACACGGTCGCTATGGGTTGGAATCGACTCGACGGCACTTAACAACAACAACCTATAGTACTTAAGAGCATGGGTCCTGGTTCCAGGTAATCTGTTATTTGCTGGCTACATGACGTTGGGCAAGCAACTTCACCTTTTCTTGTCTCCGTTTCTTCATCTATAAAATAGGGCTGAAAATTTTTACCTCCTAGACTTGTTATGAAATTGAATTAATTAACATATATGATGAAACCCTGGTGGTGCAGTGTTTGAGAGCTTGGCTGCTAGCCAAAAGGTCAGTGGTTTGAACCCATCAGAGAAAAATGTGGCAGTCTGACTCTGTAAAGATTTACAGCCTCAGCATCCTCACGGGGCACATCCACTCTGTCCTACAGGGTCACTATGAGCTGGAACAGACTCGACAGCAATATTTTCGTTCTTTTAAATATATGCATGGAAGACAATTAGAAGATTAAATGAGTAAATGATAGCAATTATTCACCATTTTTGTTTCATCTAGGACTTAGGTCCTTCCAGGTAGCTAATTCAGAGCTGGTTATAAGAGCAGTTCAGTGGTAGAATTCTTGTCTTCCATGCTAGTGACCCAGGTTCAATTCCCAACCAATGCAGCCCAAATGCAGCCACCTTATGTCTGTCAGTGGAGGCTTGCCTGCAGTTGCGATGCTGAACAGGTTTCAGTGGAACTTGCAGACTAAGATGCATTGGGAAGAAAGATGTAGCAACCTTGCTTTTGAAAAATTAACCAATGAACACCTTGTAAGGCACCGTTTTACTCTGATGCACAAGGGGTTGACATGAGTAGGAATTGACTTGATGGCAATGGGTACATTGTACTAAATATTTGCGTGCCTGTCTCCTGTATAAATTACACTATTACCTTTTCTAAGGGCAGGGAATTCATGGCAACTGGTGTACATTTCAAAAAGAGGTGACTCCCAGATCATTGAAGAAATACCCTAGATTTATAATTACAAGTTATCTAAAGTGAATTCAGGGGAGGAACAGGCAAGGAGGGAATGTCTTCCCTTATTTTCAGTTGAGAGAATTAAAACATCTTATTTCTATTTGCATTTACCCTTAATGGGGCTCAGAAGTGAATGTTTGTTTGAACTTCTGTGCAAAAAAAATCTACAGTTCAGATAAGGAAAATACTTCTCTTAACCATGAGAGAATGAGAAGCTTCCAAAATATCTGAAATGGGGCCAAGGGTGTTAAAAATGACAAATGATAACTAAAGCATTGACTTCAATCCTAACCATTCCCATGTTCTCTAATTCCTAAGAAAACACTTACTGAAACTCTCAGAAACTATGGCTGATTATTTGTGAGATTATATATGTTTTTTGAAGTGAGTCTCTGAAGCCCCTTCATAGAAGTGTTGGGTCCTCTTCAAGGGGGAGCTTAGTTTAATAGTGTGGAGGAAGAAAGAGTCCCCACTGAATAGTTTCATCTTGTCTAGATGGGTCTGGGTAAAAAAGATGGGGATAAGATTCTTAGGATTCAATAATGGGTAATTGTTATCATGACTAATTGTGATTGTCACAATTGTAAAGGTAGAAGTTTTGGAACAAAAACAGGGGAGTGGTTAATCTTACAGTCCAGAAACAAAGGACCCTAGGACTATCACGGGAGAAGATCACAGGCAGAATGAGAGACCTTATCCAGAGAAGCAGCGACACCAGAGATGAAGGCAGAGATGGGGACATGGAGAGAGGGAGCATTTGATGACTCTAGATTCATGGGAAGTGAAGGACTAAGAGATGGCGGCCAGGAGGCAGACTTGTAAAATGTGACCTTTTGGTGGTGTAAATTATTATATGTGCCTGAGTGTTTTAAAACAAACAAACAAACAAACAAACAAACAAACAAACAAAAAAGCTAAAGTGAATAGAGAAAAACACTGGTAACTGATGGTACATGGAGGGGATTATAATCATTGTAATGAAACAAGGTGTATGATTTGTTGAATGTAAAACTGATGATTTGCCCTGTAAAATTTTACTCAATCCACAATAAAAACCTTAACTAATAATAATAATAAAAAAGTGTTAGTTCCTCTGGCTCCCAGGGTAAATATGACAAGACTTTAAAAAGTTCGTGGAAAAAAGGAATGAAGAGATAGTAGAATTTTTCCATGAAGTTTTGAAAGTTAATTGGAGGGAGTTAATTGTTCCTTCCCTTCATCAGCCTTTAGAATTTGTTCACAAGAGGTGACGAAATGTTAGTAGTTTTATTCAATGTAATAAATTCTGGGGTGAAACTCTGGCTAAACATATACTTTTAGTTGCTTAATCCTCTTGCTAGCCTCTTGTTAAGAGATTACCCCCCTAAATCTGTCTCTCCTTGCTTTCATGCAGGACCAGAATGGCTACAGTTCCTTTGGGCTGTGGTGAGAAGATAGGATTCAGATACAACAGACTTTGTGATAAAACGGAACTTTGGGGCATTATCCTAGAAGCAATTGCCGGGGCCGGGGCTGTGGCCTCTATTGCCTTCATGTTCACTCTGCTGGTCTTCATTGGCAAGGTGCAGGATTCCAACAAGCGTAAAGTGCTCCCGACCCAGTTTCTCTTCCTCCTAGGGGTGCTGGGGGTCTTCGGCCTCACCTTTGCCTTCATCATCAGACTGGATGGAGGAACAGGGCCCACACGCTTCTTTCTATTTGGCATCCTTTTTGCCCTCTGCTTCTCTTGCCTCCTGGCTCACGCTTTCAACTTGACTAGGCTGGTCCGTGGGAGGAAGCCCCTCTCCATGCTGATGATTCTGGGCCTAGCTGTGGCCTTCAGCCTGGTACAGGATGTCATCGCTGTTGAATATATTGTCCTCACCATGAACAAGACCAATACCAATATCTTTTCTGAGTTCTCTCCTTCTTACCGCAATGAGGACTTTGTCATGCTGCTCATCTATGTCCTCGTCTTGATGGCGGTGACCTTCCTCACAGCCTCCTTCACATTCTGTGGATCCTTCACTGGCTGGAAGAAGCACGGGGCACACATCTTTCTCACCATGATCCTCTCCATCGCCATCTGGGTGACGTGGATCACCCTGCTTTTGAGTCCATTCCCTCAATCCAGGTGGGATGACACCATCCTCAGCTCAGCCTTGGTTGCCAATGGCTGGGTTTTCCTGTTGGTTTATGTTGTGCCTGAGTTCTGTCTGCTCACCACCCAGCAAAACCCCATGGATTATCCTTTGGAGGATGCTTTTTGTAAACCTCAACTCATGAAGCAAAGCAGTGGTGTGGAGAACAGAGCCTACTCTCAAGAGGAAATCGCTCAAGGTACAGAGCCTAGCTGGGTGGAGAATTCTTCATACAAAGATGGGGAAGAGTCATAGGATATTATAACAGTAAAGGAATGTGAGATTTTCCAGGTCCTATCTCTTTCCTATACATGGCTGCTATGATTCGCAGCCGACTTGAAGGCACTTAACAACAACGCTGTATTCCCCTCATAGAGGAGTCCTAGTATGGTGCTGTGGGTTAATATGCGGGACTTCATATGAGAGTCAGGTGTTCAGTTGCTCATAAGAATAAAAGGCTAAACTGATAGCCAAAAACTGGCCTTTCCCATAGGGATCTCTCCACTGGCCTCCAGTGTGTACTTTGATCTTTAGGTTTCTTCAGGGGAGAGAGTATTTAGGGCAGGAGTGAGGGACCTCCACCATCAGGCTCTTAGCTCAAACTAACCATAGGTCTTCTCTCTACTTTTGAAGTCTTAGATGCAAAGCTTCAGGTGCCTTCTCATTGCAGCTCTGCTCTCCCTCCTGGACACTTGGAAACCTGAAGGGAATGGGGAGGACACAAGGGGACATTTTCTCCACCTATCTCCTCCCATCCAATCCCGTGACTTCACTGTGTCCCCTCACTCTGGACTTCCCGGAGTCCTTCCTAACTGCTTGACTTTCTTTTAGTCCTTCTTTCAATCGATTGTATGGGCTACTATTAGCTTCTCTCCCTAAAATACTTCTCTGGCCTCCACATTTTTCTGCTCACATACAAAGGGGCTTTAAAAAGTTAGGGAAAATTTCCATTATCTTTTAATTCAATTTTTCAGGAACTTTTGGAATCTCTCTGATAGTTCACCAATATCCACAGCATCATATAAAATTTTATTTATAAAATTTATAAAATCATATAAAATCCTTAGCAAAGTTTTTCAACAACCACTGAAGCTTTGCTCTTCTTCCAAAACAAACCAAGTCGCTGCATTTTCACATCTCTGGATTTGGACTCTATGTACTTCGGTCCCATGTGGGAATGTCCTTTTCCAGAGGCCCAAGCAGTCCCCTGTCTCCCTCTGCCATCACTCTGCTCTCTGCCCTGAGTGTCTGTGGAGCTTTGAAATGCTGTATCAGAACCTGTCTCCTGAGCTATGTGTGCACGGGTCATAGTCCTTACTCTGTAGTATCCACTTCAGGGCAGGCAGGGACTGTTTCTCCTTAATCCTGATTTATAGTCTTACATAGAGCTTACATATATGAGTAGAATATGTTTAAGGATTTTTTGAGACAATAGCACAGATACATTTGGTGGGGAATAAATGGATTATATTGATGACAATTCTATGTGTTTATTCTTCGTTCCCAAGTGTAAAGTCCTATGATTTCCCCCCAAATCTATAGAAAACAATTGCTCATATGTTCTTTGATCCACCACAGAAAATTTATCATTTTTTTTCTTCTTTATCAGGCAATTAAAGGAGTGGGTACAAACCCAGTAAGACTCACTCTAGGTTCCCCTCTGCCCAAATTCATAGCCAAAAAGACTAGTTTTTATGGCTTTTCAAGTCTGCTTTTGAAGGAGTCCTTGAATGAGGTGGGGCTCAGGTCAAGCTTTGGAAATGGAATTCCTTAGTGACTACATTCTACTAGTTATTCACTTATTTAGCCAATACTGTGCTTATTCTCTGTCTTGTTCTGGGCTTGGCACCTGGGTGAACAGGAGACTGTTTCCTCTTAGAAGCCTTGCAGTCCACAGGGGAAATAGACAACTGAAAAACCAACATGTCATACCGTGATTAGTGATGTAGCTGGGTGAGCACAAAGGAGGGGCACTGACTGCTTTAATTTCTCCATTCCCTTTGTTCTAGGTCTCGGAGAGCTGGAGGATGTACTCTATGCCCCATATTCCACCCATTTTCAGATGCAGGTAAATAATCTCTCTCTTCTTCTCCCAGGAAAGCTTGTCCTTGGTGGAGCAGATGACATTACCATTCTGGTGGCTTCTGGATGGCCACCTTGAGAGGTGATGTGTCTGTTCTTACATCACTTGCCTCATAGGGTTGAGATGTCAAGAAATGAGTGCTGGGTACAGGGAAGACTTCAGGAGAGAGTTTGGGAAAAAGAGAAGGAAATTAGATCTCTGTTGAAATGGCCAGGAGCCAGGGTGACCTAAAACTATGTTTGTTTCCTTTTCAGAATCGGACCTCCCAAAAGGATTTCTCTATTCCACGGGCTCAGACCCGGACTAGCCCTTACAACGACTATGAAGGAAGGAAAGAGGGCAGCTAACCTTGTTCAGAAGAGTGGGACAACTATAGCAAAGCAACAGAAGCGGCGGGGAGTTCAAAGGAATGTGGACTAAATCCAGAGTCTGTTAAGAAAACTGTACAGAACATCGTAGGAAGAGCTTGCCTGCCTCCCAGCCTCTACCACTGTGCTGAGGCTGTGGGAGTTAGTAGCATTATACTATTTTTTTCCTTTGGCGCATACTTAGGACTCTTCTTTTAAGTCGGAGTCTCTGGCAACTCAGGATTATAATCTTAACCATTTGCTGTCATTTTACATGTGACTAAAAGTTTGGTCATCTGACCCCCAGATTTGCTCATTCAACTTCAGGCGCCAGGTTATCTAACTCAAGGCGGATTTGTGGAGGTTTGTTTGACCCAGAGAAGGACTGCAGATCTGAGCAAAACAGCAAAGGCCTGTCTCAGCCCCACACTGTCTAAGTCTACACTGGAAGCCAACTTGTTGGCACCCTCCCTTCTTGCTTGGGTTGTTGTTAAGTGCCATCTAGTCAATTCCAACCCATAGTGACCATATATAGGGTTTCCAAGGAGCAGCTGGTGAGCTTGAATCACCAACCTTGCAGCTCAGATGACTTTGCAGTCTGATACATTAGCCCACAGAGCCACACCAGGACTCCTTCTTGCCTGGGTAGGAGAGGCTAAAGGTCACCCCAACTTACTCTTCTCTATAGCACAGGTTACACAGGCCTCTGGGGTTTCCAAGCACCAATTCAGATGTTCCCTCCCTAGTACCCTTCCCAAACTGCTGATCCAGATCTAGTAATTCCCAGAACTCCACCTAAAGATCTTCCGGGCCTCACTATCATTTTGCAAGCCCACTTTTCCTTTCCCAGGAGAGTCTGTGCATTGTTCTTGCTATAAATTCCTGGCATTCAATTCTTCTCCAACCCCTTGATCCTCAGCCTCTGTAAATAGGTTTTCACTGTATTCCCCTCCTGCATTCTGTACACGGACATTGTCTACAAATGGGGTAGTGTTCATTGTACAATAAGTTATTTGCCTTTCCTCACCTCTAATACCCAATAAAGATGTGGTGGTAACTCTCAACTCTGACAGGAGCTGTGCAAGTGGTGAATATCAGGCACTGAGGTGAGAAATGGTGGGTTCCCCTGTTGGGCTCCATGTTAAAGCTGTAGTTCTAAGTTCAAATCCACTGGGCTTGTGTTTTGACCCTTCTCAACACATCTCTCCTTTTTCTGGTTACATCAAACACAAAGTGTTTCCTGCAGTTTTAGAGGCTGGCAAAGGTGAGAGGGCAGCAAAGCAAGGTCATAGATCCTGGGGTTTTGCTCCAGAAAGGCAGAGGAGTGGCAGCTTTGGAATGGGGTTTGGCAGCCCAGAAAACACGGGGAGGAGACCTCAAAACCAGTTTCACATTTCATTCAAGGTTTGATTGTAGGAGGGGACAAATCAAGATTTCTTATTTAACAGAATTGGCTCGCAGTTTCTCTCAGCAAAGACCTGGCAGCTGACATTATTAATAATCTAAGGAGCAGCTCTGTGGGGCAGGGCAATAGCAAATCTTGATTCTTAAAAATTTTTTTATTGTAAATTATGATAGTTTACATGGGAGAACATTAGCTTTACATTCATCCTATCGTATATTGTTTCATTGCCATGGTTACAGTCCCCTCCATGCATCATCAAACAACTAAAGGGCATACCCTGCAAGCCTGCCCCACCCCTGGTCATCCCTCTCTAGGTTTAGTGTCCCCAGATGGTCCATCTCTCCACATCATCGTCTCTGCCTCCACCTCTGGCATCACTGTTTCTATAGGTAGGGTCCCGCACTCCATTCTTCTCCCTTGATGGTTCCAGGGTCCACCACTCCTGGACTGCAAAGTCAACCACTTCCCGCCTTTTGCTACAAATCATCTACCTTTACATTTCCAACCCTCACAGTGAGTCCTGATAGCAATTCTTCACTATTGTACTACAAAAGTCCTATCCCCATCTCCTTTCATCAGCCCTGCCCAGACAGATTGGATCCTACTCAATGGAGATTCTACCTTCCTCTGTGCCCTCTGGATCTAGGCTCCCTCTTGAAAGCTTGTAAGACATTCACTTCTTGCCTTTGTAGTCCCCCAACAACCCCCATTTTGGGAAGCCAATGTCCAAGTTGCCCATCCCTGTCTACCCTGTGTACCGAGGGGGGTGGGAATGATCCTTGCTATAGTGATTTGTTCCCTTTTGAGCTACTGCATCCATAGGTGTAGGTCAAGTTCATCAAATTGTATCAGGTTACTCTTTTTTTCCCTCTTTTTTCTTCTTCTAGTTAAGCTCTGATCATCTATTCATTGGAGTCAGGTCAAGTGGTCATTATCTGCAAGTGTGGGTGTTCTTAGGTATATCCCCTCACTTCTTATAAGCTGGATGCTTCACTTTCCACTCTAGTCCTCTGTGGCTATGTCATTGTCTCTGGGCCCAGGAGTCCCCAGGTCTTGCCACACTGCTGGCCAACCAGGTCTCCACCCAGTTTCACAGGAGTCTATTGAATGTGGTTGGACTTAGCTCACAGCTTCATTGCTGTATTTCCCATACTCCCCCTTACCAGTGACCAACATGGTCACCAGTCAGACCACATGTCTGCTTGTGTATTCCCCTTGAGTCTTAGTCTTGGAAAGGGGTTTACCCTGAGAGGACAAATCTGTCTTTGCAGAAGGGACAACCATAAAAATGATTCACAAACACAGAAATGGAATGACATTTAAGTTTCTGTAAACCGAGTCAGAGAATGACATTCTATGAGCCTGACACTCTACTTCTCATCAAAAGGAAATGCCTGAAGTGGGGTAGAAGTGATATGAGGTGAGGTTGGAGGTGAATTAATAACAACATGCTAAGTTTGAACTATTTACACTCCACAAATGCTTGGTTGATTTATTTCCTCCACATGGCTTTGCAAAAGCATTAGCCTTAATTTTGAAAGAGAGGATTTAACCAATGATGATTTGGGTCCTTCTTACTATTCTAGTTTCCCTAAAGAGGCCAGAACCCAGCAAGGTTTGTAGCGAGGGGAAAACAATATGGTTTCACACACATTCCTTGTCATAGGGTAGGTACCCAAGAAATAATATATTCCCTTTCCTCTTTTCTTTTACAGTCTCCATTCTATCAAACAAACAATGGGAATGAAAACCGGTAAAACCAGTCGCTGTCAATTCTGACTCATGGTGACCCCCTCCTGCATATCTGGGTAGATGTGTGCTTCATAGGGATTTTCATGGTTGATTTTCTGAAGTAGATCTCCAAGCCTTTTTTGTGAGGTAACTCTGAGTGGACTGGAACAGTCAATCTTTCAGTTAGCAGCTGAGCTTAATAACTTGCACAACCCAGGGAGGGACTCTACAGACTGGGGAGGTGGTGACTGAAGGTAAAACCACAAAATGCTCTAGGTTCACTCTCTTTCATGGCGGAAGAATGACTGCAACCCTCATGTCAATCTCTTCAGAACCTAGAGAGGACCTAGAAGTGTACCCATCTCTGCCAACTTATTCCTCTTCTTAGAAATAACGTGCTCTTCACAGTTTTGTACAACCAGGTCACCACCTCACTGAATTCTCATCCTTGTCATGGGGTAGGAGAATGCTCCCCCGTTTGGAAGAAAGTCTGTTAACCGCTCTTCAGATAGCATGTCTTTTATGCACATAAGTAAGCTCTTTTGTTAAAATTGGAAAAACTCAGGGGCTGGAGGTTTTAGCACCTGAGAATCCTTATGGTATTGACTAGAGGGCTTCAAATTCCTTTCCATATATCTGCATCTCCACCTAGACTGGAATTGTTGTTGTTGTTAGGTGCCATCGAGTCGGTATCAACTCATAATGACCCTATACACAGCAGAACGAAACACTGCC